GTGCTATAATAAGAAACAGAAGTAATAACTATACTCTGTGAGACTGAATATTGGTAAACCAAACAAATTAATTACAATAGAGCGTCGATAATCCGGACGTTAAAAATCCGGACGGTCGATAATCCGGATTAAATTCCGGTGAAAAAAAGTTGAAGTGAATACATACATCGTCTTACGCGCAACTAAATGTATAAACTAAACTTCTGTAAAACCATATGTATGTATATTCTTTCATTATTTAGTTCATAGCAATCAATGGTTTTATTTATCTGCTCAATTATTTAACCATAAAAGTGAATTATTAACGATTTTAGCAAGTTTTCTTTTTCTTAGGAACTCAAATTACCTTTTTACTTTCCTATCTGTATACAGATATAAGGAAAGTATAGGAATCATGATTTTTTTCGACCTCGAGTTTTCGGCGGATTTTTACGTTTTGAGGTCCCCTGAATCCGTTTTGACTATTTTCGTGTGTGTGTGTGTGTGTGTGTGTGTGTGTGTGTGTGTGTGTGTGTGTGTGTGTGTGTGTGTGTGTGTGTGTGTGTGTGTGTGTGTGTGTGTGTGTGTGTGTGTGTGTGTGTGTGTGTGTGTGTGTGTGTGTGTGTGTGTGTGTGTGTGTGTGTGTGTGTGTGTGTGTGTGTGTGTGTGTGTGTGTGTGTGTGTGTGTGTGTGTGTGTGTGTGTGTGTGTGTGTGTGTGTGTGTGTGTGTGTGTGTGTGTGTGTGTGTGTGTGTGTGTGTGTGTGTGTGTGTGTGTGTGTGTGTGTGTGTGTGTGTGTGTGTGTGTGTGTGTGTGTGTGTGTGTGTGTGTGTGTGTGTGTGTGTGTGTGTGTGTGTGTGTGTGTGTGTGTGTGTGTGTGTGTGTGTGTGTGTGTGTGTGTGTGTGTGTGTGTGTGTGTGTGTGTGTGTGTGTGTGTGTGTGTGTGTGTGTGTGTGTGTGTGTGTGTGTGTGTGTGTGTGTGTGTGTGTGTGTGTGTGTGTGTGTGTGTGTGTGTGTGTGTGTGTGTGTGTGTGTGTGTGTGTGTGTGTGTGTGTGTGTGTGTGTGTGTGTGTGTGTGTGTGTGTGTGTGTGTGTGTGTGTGTGTGTGTGTGTGTGTGTGTGTGTGTGTGTGTGTGTGTGTGTGTGTGTGTGTGTGTGTGTGTGTGTGTGTGTGTGTGTGTGTGTGTGTGTGTGTGTGTGTGTGTGTGTGTGTGTGTGTGTGTGTGTGTGTGTGTGTGTGTGTGTGTGTGTGTGTGTGTGTGTGTGTGTGTGTGTGTGTGTGTGTGTGTGTGTGTGTGTGTGTGTGTGTGTGTGTGTGTGTGTGTGTGTGTGTGTGTGTGTGTGTGTGTGTGTGTGTGTGTGTGTGTGTGTGTGTGTGTGTGTGTGTGTGTGTGTGTGTGTGTGTGTGTGTGTGTGTGTGTGTGTGTGTGTGTGTGTGTGTGTGTGTGTGTGTGTGTGTGTGTGTGTGTGTGTGTGTGTGTGTGTGTGTGTGTGTGTGTGTGTGTGTGTGTGTGTGTGTGTGTGTGTGTGTGTGTGTGTGTGTGTGTGTGTGTGTGTGTGTGTGTGTGTGTGTGTGTGTGTGTGTGTGTGTGTGTGTGTGTGTGTGTGTGTGTGTGTGTGTGTGTGTGTGTGTGTGTGTGTGTGTGTGTGTGTGTGTGTGTGTGTGTGTGTGTGTGTGTGTGTGTGTGTGTGTGTGTGTGTGTGTGTGTGTGTGTGTGTGTGTGTGTGTGTGTGTGTGTGTGTGTGTGTGTGTGTGTGTGTGTGTGTGTGTGTGTGTGTGTGTGTGTGTGTGTGTGTGTGTGTGTGTGTGTGTGTGTGTGTGTGTGTGTGTGTGTGTGTGTGTGTGTGTGTGTGTGTGTGTGTGTGTGTGTGTGTGTGTGTGTGTGTGTGTGTGTGTGTGTGTGTGTGTGTGTGTGTGTGTGTGTGTGTGTGTGTGTGTGTGTGTGTGTGTGTGTGTGTGTGTGTGTGTGTGTGTGTGTGTGTGTGTGTGTGTGTGTGTGTGTGTGTGTGTGTGTGTGTGTGTGTGTGTGTGTGTGTGTGTGTGTGTGTGTGTGTGTGTGTGTGTGTGTGTGTGTGTGTGTGTGTGTGTGTGTGTGTGTGTGTGTGTGTGTGTGTGTGTGTGTGTGTGTGTGTGTGTGTGTGTGTGTGTGTGTGTGTGTGTGTGTGTGTGTGTGTGTGTGTGTGTGTGTGTGTGTGTGTGTGTGTGTGTGTGTGTGTGTGTGTGTGTGTGTGTGTGTGTGTGTGTGTGTGTGTGTGTGTGTGTGTGTGTGTGTGTGTGTGTGTGTGTGTGTGTGTGTGTGTGTGTGTGTGTGTGTGTGTGTGTGTGTGTGTGTGTGTGTGTGTGTGTGTGTGTGTGTGTGTGTGTGTGTGTGTGTGTGTGTGTGTGTGTGTGTGTGTGTGTGTGTGTGTGTGTGTGTGTGTGTGTGTGTGTGTGTGTGTGTGTGTGTGTGTGTGTGTGTGTGTGTGTGTGTGTGTGTGTGTGTGTGTGTGTGTGTGTGTGTGTGTGTGTGTGTGTGTGTGTGTGTGTGTGTGTGTGTGTGTGTGTGTGTGTGTGTGTGTGTGTGTGTGTGTGTGTGTGTGTGTGTGTGTGTGTGTGTGTGTGTGTGTGTGTGTGTGTGTGTGTGTGTGTGTGTGTGTGTGTGTGTGTGTGTGTGTGTGTGTGTGTGTGTGTGTGTGTGTGTGTGTGTGTGTGTGTGTGTGTGTGTGTGTGTGTGTGTGTGTGTGTGTGTGTGTGTGTGTGTGTGTGTGTGTGTGTGTGTGTGTGTGTGTGTGTGTGTGTGTGTGTGTGTGTGTGTGTGTGTGTGTGTGTGTGTGTGTGTGTGTGTGTGTGTGTGTGTGTGTGTGTGTGTGTGTGTGTGTGTGTGTGTGTGTGTGTGTGTGTGTGTGTGTGTGTGTGTGTGTGTGTGTGTGTGTGTGTGTGTGTGTGTGTGTGTGTGTGTGTGTGTGTGTGTGTGTGTGTATGTATATAACGCATAACTCATGAACCGATACACAGAAAAACACCAAATTTTAAACTTAAGCTTTGTTTCAGCGTCCAATGAGCTGATTAGATTTTGGGCAGTGTCGGAACATCTAGGGGGGTACTTTATAGGTGGTCATTTTTATATTTTATGGAATATATCTGTTATTTACGGTTGGAGAAGAAAATTCTTCAAATAAAAGTTACTTCTAATATAATTATCTATAATTTTTGTTTTATGCAAAATTTTCCTAAAATGGTCCGTATTCGAGAAATTTGACAAAATGTAAAAAAAATAATTTTTTATAAAAATTGTTCAAATAAAAGTTGTTTGTAATATAATTCTCTATAATTTTTATTCTATACATAATTTCTCTAAAATAGACCGTATTCGAGATATTTGAGAAAATGTGTAAATTATTTCGAATTTTGAAGAAAACTCAAAAACGGAAAGAAAAAAACATTAAATTTTAAACTTAAGGTTTATTTCGGCCTGACGTAAAATGATTAGATTTTGGACAAAGTCGGAACATCTGGGGGGGGGGGGGTACTTTATGAAAGGCCGTTTTTATATTTTATGGAATATATCTGTTATTTATGTTTGAAGAAGAAAATTGTTCAAATAAAAGTTACTTCTAATATTATTATCTATAATTTTTGTTTTATGTCAAAATTTCCTGAAATGGTCCGTATTCGAGAAATTTGACAAAATGTGCAAAATTCTGATTTTTAAGAAAATTGTTAAACTAAAAGTTGTTTGCGATATTGATCTCGATAATTTTTGTTTTTACATGATTTTTCGAAAATGAACCGTAATGGAAAAATTGGAGAAAAGTACTAAATTTAAATTTTTCAGTACTTTCGTTTTCAATGAATATCTGTAAAAAAATGTTTCGAGTTAAATGTATGTGGAAAATGTATATATTTAGTTTATTCCCTAAATATTTATAGAGGAGGTATAATAGGTTGTACAAAATAACCGCCTATAAAGCCTATAATAACTAGATAGGAAAGTCATGTGTTGGACACATCAGATTTTTTTTTTATTCCCTTAGAAAATTTTTACATTTTGATAATTCGGACAGGGTTCGGGCATAATTAATCCTGATTATCGACGCTCTATTGTATATCTAAATATCCATTTTTTGTACGACTTGGCAACAGTGTTCAACCAACATGGGAAACATTTTACCACTAAGCACAATTAATACATCTAACGCAGGTATAAATCCTTAAATTTCCTCAAATGTGATTTTATGACTTGATATAGTTGACATTTTTATTTTTTATTATTTAAAAAATTAAATGTGACGTTAATATGCATTTACACAAGATATGTTACTTAGGTTTTATGTTTACAATAGTGTTACCTATAAGTACGCAGAGCTGTTGTAAGTACCAAGAAAAAGTACTTAAGTATTAAATACAAGTTTTTTTTGTAATATGAATCAAGTACCAGTACAAGTATAAATAAAAGATGCAATACTTAAAATACCAAGTAAATTGACTTGAATTAACCAAATTTAAGTACAAGTACCAAATTCCACGAAAATCAAGCCAAGTTTAAAAAAAAATTATTTTCTTTAAAAGGTGCAATCATCAGTCTTTCGCATAATAAAGGCAATTTTTCTTTAGACATAAGTATTTTCTGTACAGGGTCGTACAATGAATTCCATCGGGTTATTTCAGGAATACTAAATCTGTTTTTTTTTAATTATTTTTGATGATTATTCAATATTTACTTCCAGTAATTTTACTGGTACTTAAGAATTTTAATATTACTTAAGTGCAAATTTTCGAAAGCTTTCAAGTAAAATGTACTTGAATGATATTGTAAGTATTAAGTACAAGTAAAATTGAAAAACTTAGAATTGCAAGAATAAGTACCAACGTTTGTATTAGTACTCAAGTCAAATACTTAAGTATTTACTTAAAGTATTTAAAATACTAAGTACAACAGCTCTGTGTACATATGCTTATTTTTGTCCTAACCGAAAAGAGCTCAAACTAATCAATGATCGTTTATTTATTCATTGAGCATACAAAAATGTTAAAATACTTACGATACAAATTTCAATAGTAGCTCAGATACATCTCTAGTCTTAGCTTCTGCAATATGAGCAAACGATACCAAAGCTTTCCATAGCAAAAGTCTATAATTTACAAAATCAGGTTTAGATCTCAGTGTTTGCACTTCCTGAAAAGTATCTTCCAATATATCACAAGATGCATCAAATGTATCAACCAATTCTTTGGAAAATGAAATATATTCTGGAACACATTTTAATTCTTCACCAAATATTCCCCAAAAAGTATTTATATCCATTCCAACAGCATGGGAAGTAATAATTTTAATAACTGGTTCCCAAATAAGCTGAAAATTAATGTACAAGACACCACAAAGGTATCTCAGAGGAACTGTCTTGAATAATGTAAGTTTACACATCAACATTTGAGGTTTGTCATAATTCAGTTTCTCCAAACTTTGTATTTGATTTCGGTAAGTAGTAACATTTGATTCTATAGACTCTACATTGTAAATCAGAGAGAACACTTTCCATGGCTCTGTATGTGCTTCAGGATCATCACTGTGTTTCAAGTCAAAGTAAGGTAAACTCTCAAAAGCTGTGTAAATGTGAGCTGTTAAAAGTCGAACCTAAATGAAAAAAACTTTATATAAAATAGTCCAATCAAATTAAAAAAAAAATTGTTAACTGGACTTTGATAAATGGTCTAGGGGCTTATAATAAAGTGACCATCCGTCCCGATTTAGGCGTGACAGGCCCGATTTTAACTCACTAGTCCCGATTTTGTTCGATTTAAAAAATTATTTATGTATAAATATTTCACTTATGCCGCCTAAAAAGAAAATTTTGGGGAGATCAGGTAGCTATTTTCAAACTGGAGAGAAAGTGATTTATCTCAAAATTTTCATGAGAAATGTCATACGTCAACATAAAAATAATATTTATAAAGCCAGTTAGAACTCACCGTTTCTCTTAGTTTATTTTGAGAGAATCAAAATTATCCCAAGAATTTTAATTATTGCTGGCTTTATGTTGTTCACGTTGAAGTATGACATTTCTGATGAAAATTTGGAGAAAATTGAGTTCTCTTAAGTTTGAAACTAGCCCACCAGCAGTTTTTATTTTTTACCCCGTCCCCTCCATGTTTTCGATTTGTCCCGCTTTCTACTTTTCAAAATATGGGCTCTTTGGCTTATACAAAAAAAATTAATGGGGTTGAAATACAATTGTAGGAGGTTCAAATGGGGTAAAGAATAGTATTATCGCATTTTGCGGCGAAAGTTGACGACAAATTATAATGCAGAAGTTGTAGATCAAGCATAAAGCTACAGCTTTTGTAGAGGTCACTTTTTAACATATCCTCAAAAATTTAGATAAAAATCAATGAAGTTCTTTGATAAAAATGCAAAAAGTAGTTTTTTTTTATTTTTCATTTCTCCAGAAATAATTTTATTTTGATGAAATTTGGTGTAATTATACATTTGTATGTCTTATATAAGCAATTTTTTTTTAATTTAACAAATCCAAAAGATTTCGAGATATTATTTTTTTTTTTTTTTAATTCTAGGATGAAAAATGATCGTTTATTATTTCAACTGTTTGAACTTAGACACAATTTCGGAAGATTGTATAGTGACTTGAAAAATATTTCAACTAAAACCAAGCAGCCAAGTCTGCTTCAACCCCGAAAATCACCAGAGGTTTTTAAAATTGCGAGAAAATGATTGAAAAATATGAGCAAGTAAACCATTTTAATCAAGTCTCGGACAATGAAGATCAGATGACTTTGACAAAAAGAGCAAGATTTACCTAGTACATTTATTTTTTTCGTCCATTTTGATATCAAAAATTTGAATTTTAAATACATCCATAAATTCATCAAATTTAAAAAGAGTTCTTTGAATCAATCCTATAAAAAAAATATTTGTTTGAATCTTAATTAGACTTAAATGTTTGTAGCAATACTATATAAAAATACAAAAATAAGAATTCTGTTCAAAAAATAAAAAATCGTTTAATTTTTTTTTTTTTTTTCATAGAATTGAATGAGAAATCATTTTTTTTTAATTGAAACAAATTATAATGAAAGAATAATTCATTGTTTTATAATCGTCATTATTTTATCATAAACTACATGTCAAAATGAAAAAAATGAGTACCTGAATGTAGCATAGAATTTATTTTAAAAATCATTTTGAATCGAAAAAAAATTAATATCTCGAAATCTTTTAGATTTTTTTATTTAACAAAAATTGTGCCTATTTAAGACGTTCAAAGGTATGATGACCAAATTTCATCAGAGTTAAATTATTTTTGGTAAAACGAAAAATTAAAAACAAATATTCAAACGAACTATTGCATTTGTATCAGAAAGTTTGAGGTAATGTTAAAAAGTGACCTCTACAAAAGCTTTGCATTATAAATTTTTGTTTTTGACGTCAACTTTCGCCGAAAATCGCGATACTTGATGTATTAGAAACATTTCTGTTTGGTTGAAAAATCTTTAGAACCTTTAGTAGAAGATAAATATCATCCTGCTTTAGAAATTACTTGTAGAATAAACGGAAAAAAGCAATATAAGAAAAATCTTGAATCCTCTTACCCGAATTTTCGTAAAGCAAATTTTCCACTTTTGTATGAAATGTTATCTACTGCGAATTGGGATTTTTGGAGGTTTTCTATGATGCTGAAGATGCCTGCACGTACTTTTACGGTAAATTATACAATATATTAGATAAGTGTATACCTAAATACACTATAAGTAATAAGAGAAAATACCCTCCATAGAAAATACCCTCCATGGTTCTATTATTAAGAAACTTCAGAAAATGTCTAAACTTCATCGCTTATATCAGAATGAGAATAATATTCAAGCTCTTCAAGAATTTAAGCTCATCAGAGCTAAAATTAAAACTTATGTATCTGAGGATTATAGAAATTTCATAGCAACTCTTAGATCTGAAATCTCAGCAAATTCAAATAAATTTTGGGCATACGTTAATAATAAACAATGCCACCACTAGTTTTGAAAATAAAACATTAAATAATCCAACAGAAATAGTAAAAAGCTTTGCGGAATATTTTGGCCAATCTTATGTCGCTTCCAAGGGTACAAACATATCATTAAAGAACGTCCAGTCATCTCAGCTTCATATAACTCATTTTTTTGAAACCTAGGTCCAGGATGCTTAAAAAATCATTAAACCTGAACGTACCACAGGACCGGATCATATTCCTGCATTCAATTTAAAATATTGTTAAGCAGTATTAGCTCACCCTCTATTTTGATAAATATCTGCTTTAAATCCAATTCTCTCGAAGTGGAAATGTTCTAAAGTCTGCTCAATGTTTAAAAAAGGTGAACGAACTCATATCAAAAATTATAGACCGATTTCTATCATTTGCAATTTCTGCAAAATTCTCGAAATATTACTGGAACTTATCAACATGTTTGTAACACAATCTCAGCTTAGCAACATGGTTTTGTTAGAGGTCTATCCACAGTAACAAATCTTTCTGTAATTACACAGCAAATAGCTGAAAATATTGATAATCGGGTCCAAACTGACGTCATCTATATGGATGTCACAAAAGCATTTGATAGACTTGATCATAATATATTATTCATAAACTCTGCATATTTGGTTTTTCTAATAGTTTGATTGCACTTTTTCAATCGTATCTCTCTCAAAGAACACAATATGTTCAATTAAATGGATTCAAGTCTAACAAATATTGCGCTACCTCTGGTATATCGCAAGGTTCAAATTTGGGTCAGCTGTTATTTAATATTTTTATCAACGACATTGGTGACGCTATAAATGTTGATTATTTGTTGTATGCTGATGACTTAAAAATATATTCAGCTGTTGAAAATAATTCTGACTGTGAACAGTTGTCAGAAAATTTGAACAAAGTTGTTGAATGGTGCAACAAAAATGGCCTTGCACTGAATTCCGTCAAATGTAACGTAATGTCATACACATTAAAAGCGCATCCAATTATATTCGATTAAGTTTGCTTTCTAGACCCAACAAATTTATGGATTTAGGGTTTACATTTGACCCAGAATTGTCGTTCAAATACCACATAGATAACATTTCAGCAGCAGCAAACTGTATGTATGGATTCATAGTATGAGTGGGCAGTGATTTTAAAGAGACAGATATTATTAAATCATTGTATTTCTCATTTGTTCAATCTAAACTCGAATATGCCTCATTTATTTGGGATCCTGATTATCAAATACACATTTGTTGGATAGAGTCCATACAAAGGCGTTTCCTTAAATATTTAAGTTTTTGAGCAGACCAAGTTTATCCACTGATTGGTATTACTCAAAATGCTTTACTGACTAGACAAAGATTGACAAGTCTCGACGTAAGACAGAAGTACTTCTCCATAATTACCCTCTACAAAGTTATTTATTTTAAAATAAATTGTGAAGCTCTGTTACATATTATGCTTAATTTTAGAACCCCCTGCGCAACCTCTTGAAACACTGAATCATTTTACATTTCAACTCCTCGGACAAACGTTCTAAAGTTTTCACCTGTAAATAACATGTGCAATAATTATAATAATATTAGTGAACAGTTGGATATATTTAACTGCAGTGTTAAAAACATAAAAACACATTGCTTAAAATAATTTAGAATTTATTTACTGTAATTTTAGTTTATTTATATGCTTTTTGTTAAACATGTTTTCTTCCAAATGTACTACTGTTATGTAATTGGGTTTAACCTGTTGAACAATATATAAATAAATATAAAAAAAAATATTACCATTTTTACCCCTTTTCAACCACCTAGATTGCATTTTTTTCCTTATTACAAGCTCCTCTACCATTTACACTTATCAAAGTCCAGTTGACATTATTTTGTCCCTCTAAGTTAATTTGACTCGTATATAAAAGTAATATAAAAGCTTACCTCATGGAAAGGCGAGCTAAAATTCTTCTCCATAATAGCATTAATTTTTGTCAATAAATCTATAGGAAGGTAACGGTCTTCTTGATTTAAAAATGATATTATCAAACTAAATGTTTGTAAGCTACTAATATATTGAGGTTTATCTGTTAGAGGCAATATTACATCAAAAATGTATTTTTGACTAAGTTTAAAAACAGTTTCTTTATCTATTTTTAATTGTATTAAACACCCCAATAAAATGTTTATAAAAAATAGACTCTTCTTTATATCACTGGAATTTTTATTTTCAATTAAACATTTAGCAAAAAATATTAATTTCTCTACCAACACTGTCAATGATTCTTCTTTTATTTTTGGCATCAAATGAGGTAAACAGATCAAAGCACAGTAAAAATCATCAGCATTTTTCAGTATATTTGCATTTTCTTCTTTAATTTTTGTTGTTAAAATTTCCATGATTAAATTATTTGCATCTTTAAAATCTAAATTATATTTTGCCCATTTAACTAAATTTATTCCATTTGTGGAAGGTGTACACTTATGAATCAAGATTTTCGTTAATAAATGAAAAGTTTCTTTATCTAATTCATGCTTTACACAGAATCTTAAGAAACTTGGCAAAATCAAAGCATCAAAAGAAGCATAGTTTTTTATATTGTCTACAAAATATAAAAACACCTTCTTATATGGAATACTCATAAATTTTCTGGTAATCATAGAAGTATGTTCTTGTGAAATTTTCATATTTTTAGATGAGAGAAGCAGAATACTAATTTGGCAGACTAGCAGAAGAGTATCCTCAGATTGATTGCAGCTGTTAAAAATTTCCATTAAAACCTCAATTAATTGAGTAGGTTTTTGTAAAAATTTGCCTTCTTTATATTCAATGGTATGGCCTACCAACTTCAAAATAATATTAATATTATTTACAATGCTTTCATGTTGGCTTAATTTGTATTTGTCTGAAAGAGTCTTTAAAACATTTATGTAGGTAGACCAGAGTAGTTCACCTTTTTGTGGATGTATTTGAGCTACAATGTTTGAAATGACAGTGTCCAGTAATTCAAAAAGAGTTTCTTGTGATACATTTTCTTGAGCTAAAGCTTCAAAAAGGAATGGCAACATAGCTTCTGCACAACTGTGAAACTGACCATCAACTCCATAGATAACTTGAAATAGTAATTTGCCGCAACCTGTGACTCCCTAAAATTTTTATTATTGCAATCAATAAAATTAATAATCATATAAAACACAAATAACTTAATAGCATGTAAATTAAACAAAATATTGTTGTACTTACATCTTGTTGATTTTTAACTGCTTTTAAAAGAATGTTTAGAAATGCATTTTTGTCCTTTACTTTTCTTGCTACAAAAGCAAAGCTTTCAGCTGCAAAATTATTAATATACTCTGGTTTGTTGTCAGACAATAATGGCAAAAGGGAACTAAAGACAGAATTTATATCTTTTATTAAAAACCTCCATAAAAATTTGAAAAGATATGCCAAACTTGTAAAAACCCATTCTAATTGTTCCGTATTTTTTGTATTCAACAAACTTATTAGAACCTCCAATATTTCTGTAAAATAGCTATGGAATTCTTTCTGGAGGTCTCTGGCAAGAGCAACAACCAACCTATAAAAAATATCTAATAAGTCCTCTTCTACTAAACCATTACTTAAGTATTATTTAAAATTTATATATCTCTATTAACAAATCAAATTACTTACTCCAAAAGTGGCTGTAAAGATAAGGGATCTGCTTCTTTAACATGTTTTAATAAAATTGTAATAATATTATCTTTAATTAATAAAAGTTGAGGAAGAGTTATGTAATTAAGGGAACGAATGTCTTTTTGAAAATTTTCATAACTCTGGCTTAAATTCAAAACTTCCCATTTTATTACAGTCTGATAAAAAAAAGTTTCATTCTCTTCATTTTCAGTGGAATATTCATGTTGAACCTTGTGGAAAACGTCAACATCAATGTTACTAATTCTCTCGGAAAAAGGTAGAAACTAAAAACAAATATTAATGTAAATAACTGAAACACACTTAAAATAAGTGGAAATATTACTATGTAAAATATTTATGTGCCTATCGATTTAACTTGCTTTTTAAATTATTCAAGACTCCATAAAACTACAATACTCTAAGCATATTTTTAAACTTACCTTAAATGTATTGGACTCTTTATGACGAGCTGATTTATTTTTCATTTTGTTTAAAAAATCTCTCACATGCTTTCAAAACAATATGAATATGAACAAAACAGTCAAAACACACGTGCGACAAGCGGTGTCAGGTGTCAGTTGCACAGAACACCTACCTGTCAATTAGGCACAGTGTCGGTAACATTTTAAAATAAAAATTCTCTTTATTAATGACGAAAATTTCCCATTTCCTGTATTTTACGGCTAAAATTCCCTGCTAACCCCCAATGTTACCAAAATTGTCAAATGACGTTAGGTTATTTCGTTCGCTGTCACATTCTTTGATTTTCTTTTACTATACGGAGAATGGTCGCACTGCGCAGCTTTCTGAGTGCCTCACATACTTTGATTACTATACGAGGCAAGAGAGAGGTCCGACACGCCCAACATAGGGCGCGGCCATTTTGAACCCTGTGACACAGTTTACAGCTAAAGAATCAGATCGCTCACTCTGCGTCGGCACTTTGGATCTCAATGTTTCAGTTTATACACTGTGCAACTCTGATAATACAATATATGACAACCGCCTATAATAACACAGCAGTCTTCTGCGTATCCTGAATTTGTATCCCTGGAGTGGATGTTATTTTTGAACTTTCAACTGGTCCGAGTGAGCTAACTGATTCTTTAGCAATAAACTGTGACTTCAAAAATAATATTCACTGACACTGACAGCAGCAAGAAAAATATCAGGTGCGTTTTAATCATCCGCTTCTGCTTCCGGAATTGTCGGTTTAGTCGTTTTAACCTGTCAGATTAAAACAAGAAAACCGACAATTCCGAAGCAGAAGCGGATGATTAAAACGCACCTATTAAAAATATTGCGCCAAGATGTAGGCAACACGTAATAAGGGTCAAAATGGCGGAGTTTTCTATCTCCTTTTAAAAGGCACTCAGAAAGCTGCACAGTGCGACCATTCTCCGTATAGTAAAAGAAAATCAAAGTATGTGACTGACACTGACAGCAGCAAGCAAAATATCAGGTGCGTTTTAACCATCCGCTTCTGTTTCCGGAATTGTCGGTTCAGTCGTTCTAACCTGTCAGATTAAAACAAGAAAACCGACAATTCCGAAGGAGAAGCGGATGATTAAAACGCACCTATTAAAAATATTGCGCCAAGATGTAGGCAACACGTAATAAGGGTTCAAAATGGCGGAGTTTTCTATCTCTCAGATAAATAAATAAATAATAGATACAGCCCTATCATGCAATATTTGTAACCAGCATCTCCTCTCACTACATAGCAGTGGTTACACGACTTGATTGGATATTCGCTATTTTGGTTACACACCTGATTGGTTAGCAAAAAATTGACAGGACTACGTTAGTTAGGTTAGTTATTTTATGATTATTTTGTGGTTCATTTTGAGTTTATTTCGTACTTTAATTGAAAAATTTTTGTGGTTTAAGTTATTTTAGTGCATTTAATTGCTTAAAAATGCCAGTGAATTGTATTGTGTGCTCGAGAAAGTATCTCAAATTCAGTTTCATAGGTAAGTAAATAAAAACCATTACCGTTGCATCACACTTTTTTGAGGGGTATCATAATTCAAAATAAGGTTTAAACAACAACAATTTATTTTAAAGTTTAAAATACCATTCAACGTCGAATTTCGAATTATTTTATTGTGCCTGTGTTTACTAACTTTGAATTTATTAATAGGCTATCTTTAAATTAAAGTTATATTGTTATGCACACTGTACATTTAAGAAGGCTCTAGTGGCATTTACTTTAGTTATAAAATCTTAGTATTGCTTTATTTTAATGACAAAATATATTGTTAGAACACCATAGTTATTTTAAAGTATACTATGTTGCATTCTGTATTACATGAAATCCTATATACCTACCTATATGAATAAGAAAACACTATTTATACCTATTTAGGTTTCCAAAAGATCCTCAAACTAGATATATGTGGATGAAGAGTGTATTCAGTAGAATTTGTTCAAGACATTTTGAGGATTCTGCCTTTGCTAAGTCTCCAGGAGGAAAAATGTTTTTAATGAAAGGAGTAATGCCCTTATTTTACTCACATCCTGAAGCTGTTCCTCAACTGGAAACTATGTCACATCTGAAACTAAGTGAGTATTTGAACAAAAACTATAAATAATAAAAATGTTTTTTTGTCTTTGTTTAATTAATTTGAATAATCTAAGTATTAGTACGGGAACCAATAAATTTTGTAATTTTTTTAATTACCTATTCATATTTTAATAACACAATAATATATGTAATTATTATGATATGTTTTCTTATTGTCTAAATTAAAAGAGGTTTCATTTATCTCAAGTGAATGTATATTATATTTACTTATTATATAGTTACACGTCACATAATTAATTTAATTTGTAAATTGTGTAGTAGGAAAATGGTTGCCAGTATCGCATCATTCTGGAAATATCTAATTCGTATTCTTGGACACTTGTCTCGATTCTGCTTACGATCCTTTAAGTCTTTCAAAGTCATCCGTTTTTTCCACAGGTACAGTCTGAAGAACATCTAAAGCATCCCCTTGAAAGGCGATGCATTTACTGACTTTTCTCGTTCAAACGTCCACGACGAGATTAAAAAATAATTGGGCAGTATAAGAACCGATAATTGGATCAATCTCTTAAGGGTAAGACACGCTAAGATACTTCTGGGTGAATATAACCAGGAAACATCGGAAGCCTGTGTGAGATCTGTATTCTGTATACCCATTTATAAATGGTAATGTTAGTACCCGTGACGCCATCTATGTTTCAGCTTCATATAATTGTTTCTCCTTATATCACAGTCATCTGTAGTCTGTGACCCCGTAGGATTATAGATCGTACGTAGATGCCGCCACGAGTACGAAATAAGAGTCAAATGCGCATTGTCTTGTTCTTGTATTACAAGTTCGTATTTCATCTTGAGTTTTGTCTTGTATTATAACCATTACTGAATTACTGTGTTTATCAGAATACTAGAGAATAAAAGCTTACAACAAGGTGTTATTTTATTGAGTAGTGTATAAATAAGGCATACATCACAGCCTGCATCTGCCTGAGCAAGAACAGGCTTCGTATTGTAACAGGGATTATTACCGGGCATTATCGACTTAAAGGAAACCTTAGTAAACTGATAGTAGATGATAGTGAATGCAGATTCTGTGAGGAGGAGGACGAAACCTCCATTCACATTCTAACTGAATGTGTAGTACTCCAGAATCCAAGGGCACATTTGCTGCGTTTGAGAATCTACATCGGATGCATCTGAGATGTAAAAAATCTTTGATCACGTGATGCAGTATAAGTAAATGTAATGGGACAGATGTGTCCGATGTGGATAAAAAAACGCTCGAGATGTAAAAAATGCATCCGATGTGGATTCTCAAACGCAGCATATATACCTAGTAGGAAGATATCAAATAGAAAAGACAGAGCAGAGATTTACCTAACACGAAGCCACTCCAAATCCTACACTTCCTTGGGAAGATAGGATCGGAAGGGACGTTATAGGCATTGAGACATTTCCTTGGTGCATTAGCGACAGAAGGGGCACAATAGATCTTTTAGGTCGCAGAGTGTATTAACACCCCATTCCCAACAACATCTCAAGTGAATGTATATTATATTTACTTATTATCACGTCTCATAATTAATTTAATTTGTAAATTGTGTAGTAGGAAAATTGTTGGGTTTTATTTATCTGTAGTTAATGAATATTAGTTTTAGTTATCTAGGTACCTGTCACATAATTATTTGATTTATAAATTAGTTATGTGAAAGGAAAATTGTTGGCAACTAAATTATTATTATTATTATAATCACCCCATTATCCATTATTATTAATTGTTATTAAACCAAATGAGTACAATAACACAACGTCTCTAAAAAATTGCTTAACGTTGTTCTATTTCTAACTGACAAGAATTCATCGAAATTAAGTTTCATTATTCAAAATATTGTGTATTAGAAAACCTTGGCAATATTTTAAAACGGTAATTGTGAACTTATCATTTATTACATAAGTATCGCTTTATTCTAAACTGTTATTATAACATTTGTCTTTGTTTTGTTTTCCAGATCTAACCCAACTATTTAATAAAATGAAATACATACCTATTATAAAAATTGTTTTTTTAACCCTACTTTCCCAATTATTAAAAACCATAAATATTTTGTGCACAAAATTTAATTAACTTAAAAGGAACTAACAATAAACAGATACTGGGGTCTAATCTGTAACAATTCCTTTATATTTAACGGCCTTTAAAAATATTGGCGGCCTTTAGAAGTATATTTGTATTCGTTAATTTACTTCTGTCATTATTTAAACAGATTTCTTTAAGATAATCCTCTAATGTATTTTAAAGATCCGTTTAAATAATGACAGAAGTAAAGAAGAAAATATTTTTAAATGCTGTTAAATATAAAGGAATTTTTACAGAATAGACCCCACTGTATTCTATTTTTTATTAGATATATAAGCGGTACTCATAACAAATCAATAAAAATAATTTACAAAAGAATAGATATTATTAAAAAATAGTACAAAAATTTAGAATTTATAAAACCTATCATTGCAACGTTTATTCAAATTATTTGTGTATAAAAGTAATGTATGTTTTTAATTTAAAAAATATATGTATTGGTCGACTGAAAAATTCATTTTTGACGGTTTTCTATAAACATCTCATATTAGAAACATTGATCCATTGAAATATCTCAAAACTAATAAAATAATATAAATCAAAAGCATTTCTATTGACATTTATTTGATACGCTACTGGATAATAAAACTAACAAACCCCGCTCTTCCCCTCCTAACAACTGGCTTGTATATGTTGCTTTCAAACAAACGCAATGTAAATTTTTGACATTCAGTTATCTATTATTATTTATTTATCTGAGACTGGCACCTATTGTTTGACAGGTCGTTGGAATGCCTAATTGTGTAGTGGCGACACTGAATACTGAATTATTATGTTTATGTTTTATGCTTCAATTTTAAATTTAAAATAATCAGAGTCCTGTAAAAGGTGAATATAAAAAACCTTTATAAAAACATTAATACTATTCTAATCCGCGCACCATGTTATAATCTAAGTAACTAAAGATTAA